TAGCTTAGGGCCTTCATCTGGCAGAAGTCCCAGCAGCTGGAAAACAAGTTCTTCATTCCTGCAGGGAGATCAGGCTTGAGCATCACACTGCACATCACAGGTAGCAAGTTGTAAAATTTGAGGATCTTAAAAAAACCGAGTTCCCCTCATCAAAGCAGAGAAAGCCGACTGGGGCAAAAACCAAAGCATTTCATTATCAGCTTTCATTTCATTCCCAATAACAGCTGAGTAAGAGATGTCCAAGTGCTCAGTTTTCAACTAAGTGAGGGCTATTTGATTTAATTTCTTACCGGTTATTACGTTTGGTTATAAATTTGACATTAAAATGTAATGCCAGATATACAGATACAATGTAGTAGAAATAATTCACAGGTAAAATGGACCTGACTTTTATTTTTTTATTTTTATTTTTTTAAAGATTTTATTTATTTATTTGAGAGAGAGAGAGAATGAGAGACAGAGAGCACGAGAGGGAAGAGGGTCAGAGGGAGAAGCAGACTCCCTGCTGAGCAGGAAGCCCGATGCGGGACTCGATCCCGGGACTCCAGGATCATGACCTGAGCCGAAGGCAGTCGCCCAACCAACTGAGCCACCCAGGCGCCCTTTGCCTTATCGCTTTTAATGATTCCATTGTCTTCTACTGTATGAAAGTGATGTATTTTACCAAATGCTCTTACTAGACAGTTAAGTGATTTTCTTTCTGCTCTTTTTATTATTATTATTTATTTACTCAACAACTAAGTACAGGCACCTGCCATATGCCTGAACTGTTTCAGACACTGGGGCTACAGCCATGAATAAGAGACGTAAAATTTCTGTCCTTGTCAACGGTACAATCTAAAGAGGAAGGGAGTTAATAAAATAAAGCAGAATAAGGGGATAGAGAAGGACAGAAGGTGACTATATATGATAGGAGGTACACATATATTTAATTGCATAAAATACAATACTGCTTTGCATTTGCCCAGTTACAAAAATTTGACAGTCTTAATTTTATTATTAAGTTACCATTCATTTCCTACTCTCTAATAATCTGGACAGGATGGTCCTGACATTTATAAAATGTCTTCAAGTGGGCTCTCATTGCCTGTGCCCTAGAAACCTCTCTGGATCAGGTAAAAATAAGGGAAAATGAGTTTTCCTCAACCCCTGGCTCCTTGCTGCCCACAATAAATGTCAGTCTTTGAACCAGCAGCTAGAGGCACACACACACCCCAATTCTAGATAGAAGCGCAGGGTGTTTTCATGGGCATTTTTCTCTGTTCAAACTAAAAGGTTACATAAGCAGCTAACAATTTGCATCTCACCTAACATATGCTACTATTAATGAGTTCTGGTGGTGGTTGTGGGTAATATTTGATAGCCACCCATCTACTGTCCTTGTCAAATATTTGCCTTCCATTTCTTACTAGTGGAGTATGCTGGAGTACTGCCTCTAATCTTCATCAGCCCAGTCAGGTTTCTGAAAAAGACAAGCAGCTAAGGATTTTGTGTGTTGTCAGAATCTAAAGTGAGTGCAAAGATGAGCATGATGCTGGGGATCAGCGAGGACATGAAGAAGAAAAATCTTCCCTGTTAGCTTACAGCTAACAGTTCTACAATTAACTACCACTGCTTGCTGCTTCAAAGGGCCATCAAAGAGCAGAGGGCAGCAAGACCTTTAACCAGCACCAGAAAACCTGAGCATCTGTGATGTGACCAAAAGCAGCTAACATTCACTGAGTGCCATCTGTGTGGTAGGCATCAGTCCAAGTGCCTTATGGGTAGCAGCACACACCACTTGCAGGTAGGCACCGTTATTACTTTCTTTTTAGAGATAAGGAAACTAAGACCCTAAGAAGTTGAGGACTTTGCTCACGTGGTAGCACCAGTAACGGATTCAGGCAGTCTGGCTCCACAGCAGGTGCTCTGAGGCGTCATGGCACACATTCACAGGTGTGTGTGCACACACCTACCCCATTCCCCACATACATACCCCTCGTCATCTATGCTTCTACTAAGACCACACCACACACACCCCTCTCTCACCCCACACGCACACACCAACCACATATACCCCACTCACTATACACACATATCCCACAAACCTCACACACATCCCACATCCCACACTCACCACCTGCCACATACACACACATACCCCACACATCATGCACACA